CGTACGTGTATGCTCGTGTGTGTGTGTGTGTGTGTGTGTGTGTGTGTGTGTGTGTGTGTGTGTGTGTGTGTGTGTGTGTGTGTGCGTGCGTGCGTGCGTATATGCGCGCGTGTGTGTGTGTGTGTGTTTGCACATGCGTTCAAACACTCGGGATCGCTCTCTCCTTATCTTTGCCGTTCTCTCTCCGCTCTTTTAAACTGTTAATAATATGACATAATTTAAATTTGTTAATAACCTGGTCGGACATAATTACAAACTTTTAATAATTCGGTCGGACAAAATTACAAATTGTTAATAACCTGGTCAGACATAATTACAAACTGTTAATAACTCGGTCGGACAAAACGTTTAATCATAGAGAGTTAGCGCACACGTAACGTACGTGCTATAAAACCGCTGACTACAGTTTAAGAGAGTTAGCCGCAAATTTATCGTGTAAACGTGGGAGCATTATAAATATACGCTGCACTTCGTAGTCGCAGTTAACTAACCATGCACTGACCACAGCGCCACCCATAAGGAAGAGTGAATTAGTAGCATTCGCTGTTCTTTGGAGCGGACGTGACAATAATTATAAGAGNCTCCCTCTCTGGCTTCACAAACGTATATATTTATTATATAGTTACGGGCGGGTTTGGTTATAATTATTTTATTCCTGCTGCGTGGTGGCGTATAGGTAATGCAAAGTGATGCGGGGCCAAACATAGGCGGTGATGCTAGCCGGTCACATAACGTCGTCTGCTTATCTTATAATTGTGATGGCGTATAGACGTCCAACCGTACGTCATCATCTTCATTTTAAGTATCGTCCGATAGTGGGGAGCGAGAGAGAGAGAGAGAGAGAGAGAGAGAGAGAGAGAGAGAGAGAGAGAGAGAGAGAGAGAGAGAGAGAGAGAGAGACGAGAAGAGAGAGAGAGAGAGAGAGAGAGAGAGAGAGAGAGAGAGAGAGAGAGAGTGACGAGAATGAGACAGACGAGAGAGAGCGGAAGGAGGAGAGAGGAGAGAGAGTGGGGGACAAAGGGAGGCCAAAGTAGCCTTTTATTTCCCATGGGTGGCCGCCGCCCTTTTGATATAGACGGAGCCGGTCGCGAGCTTATCCTCGGGCCCTCGGCACATTGTGTTAAGAGCAATATCACAAAACCAATTAAGCGTTAAAACTAAAACGCAACTCTTGTGGCGCAAGTTCTTGAGCAGCGCATACCGTGGCGAGTTTCTATGTGTGATGTGTAGAGAAAGGGACGCTCGTTACTCTTAGTGTAGTGACGCGTCGTTATGCAGAATTATACAGAGAGTGTGAGCGGCGGGAAAAGAGAAAGTTAGAAAGGGGGACGAATAATATACACTACAAGACACACACGGAGAGAGAAAGAGAAAGAATGCGAGAGGAGCGATGAGAGCGAGAGATGAGAGAGAGAGAGAGGGAGAGAGAGAGAGAGAAGAGAGAGAGAGAGAGAGAGAGAGAGAGAGAGGTAGAATAAAGGAGGAGGAGGAGAAGGAGGACGAGTGGATTTACGAGCGTCGACGTTACTCCTCACTGATGCGCGCATCAAAGAGATCAAGCGAGAAAGAGACGAAGATGAGACAGTCATGCGCATCATTAAACGGTGAAACTAAC